CACGTCGTCATTGAAGAAAGTTATTTGGCCGTTTGGTGAAACAGTCTTTGGTTTTGGGATGTAAAGAATGGGATTGCTTGGATTTTTGTAATATGGAATAATTTAATGAAATTGCATGTGTAAAGAAGTATTTAAGTGGTTTTAAAGTCTAGGTTTTAGTAAGAAGATAGTATAAAGTAGAAATATTTATTCAACTTCTATATATCTTGAGACAGATGATTATTAAATTCTTATTTACGCAAAAGCGAGAGCTTGTTCTGTGTAAATCTTTAAGAACATTAGTGCATATACTGTATAGTGTATACAGTTGCTGTAAAATTTTATTACCGCTATGCGGAAGCTTCTATCAAATATGAATTCTGGAATCTAAAGCGTCGCGAACGCGAGTAACGTGCCACTTAAAATCGCGAGATCACAAAACACACTCGTTACGAGCTCCCCTTTAGCGTTCCGAGATAATCGCTCGAAACTGACGCCCTTAATTTTACAATAAATCCGAGAAACTAGGCTTTTACGAAGCCCGAAATCAGACTTAATCATAAGGGGTTATCGTTGATTTAACGCGGTGAAATTATAATTTCATCGAACACGCTGTAGAGGCCCGAATCAGAGTCGCGTGAGCGTGAATAGAAGTTTTGCAGGCGTTAAAAAACTTTCGACATGCCGCAATACGCCGCGCCGGCCGCTGGAAAGACGTAATTGTCACGCACAGAATCGTGTCAGTTGAAGTACGTAAAGTACCGTTGAAAACTAAGAAACTGCAAAACTCCGTTGAATTTAACTGGATTGAACGCACGAAAGTAATTCTCCTTGTACGAGGCCGGGAAATTAATTGATCGATGGGTTGTGGTTTCTTTTAACAACTTTCGCGGAAAATCAAATTTCTATCTTTACATATCTTGAATGTTGGTAAGCGCTGTTTTCCTTTTATCTTTATACAACTAAACAATTTCATTTTTCCTCTTTATATAAAATCAATGGTTATAAATTCCAAAGGAAATTTATAACTTTTCGTATATATCTACACGATACTTCATACTTCAAAGTTGTTGCCACGGATTTGTAAAAATGGTATTAAAACAGGTTATGTAGCTATCTTACTTTGATTTCCAAATTATGGATTATCTCTAGGTTTTTTGGAAGCGTTAATGAACATCTTTTTCAGAACTTTAATAAATGCACATATAATTTAATTTACCTGGATTGAAAGAAAGAACAGCTGTGCAACTGTAATATTCAAATTTCTCTTTTTATGATAGAAAATTATTTCGAATAAAGTGATTCTTTTGGTTATAGTTACTGAAGAAAATATAAAGCAGAAGGTTGATTTTTATTCAATTCCATTGTCGACTAAAGGAAACAGTCCTACATAATTCAGACGGTTAAAGATTTTCCGATAGGAATCTACACGTGAACACGAAAGGAACATTGTTCTAGGCTAGGAGATCAAACTCGAGATCACCTAAGGCCACCCAAGATTTGTTCTATATAACCTGCGGCGTCTCAACATCAAGCTGACCTAGATATCTACAACTGATTCCTTTTCTATCTTCTAGTCTTAAAACGCCATATAAATACGGAATGATTAACCGTGAACGAAACAAGCGAAATGTACGGAAATTATATTAGACAGTAGAATAACCGTAATAGTATTATATTGAGTGAAGAGAAAGTGTAAGTTAAACATGATTAACGTTAGAAACACTGAGAAGTCAAAGTGACTTATGAGTGTTGGTTCAGAAGTCAACGTGTTAGCGGGTCAATTGAAAACACTGCTACAATGATTAATGTTCACCATAACTCGATGGTCAAAGGTTACTACTACTGAAAAGATTATCTCAATCCCACATACTGTCAAAAATTAAAATAAATTCAATTTATCTGAAGAGTCTACAGCAATAAAACTGACCGTCTAACATATACTAAAAAAGTCAACCTCTAGTGAAAACAAAACACAATCTTCAAAGAAGTTAATCTTAAGACCCTGAAGTTGATCTTATTACCAATCATTACATAAACTGAAGGGATGAAAGCAAACCTTAGAAGCCGAAATAAGAAACATATTTGGCTTGTACCTTCAAACTTGTTTGCCCCTAGAAAAAATGTTTTAAAGCCAAAATTCTACATCCTACGACAAAGAATCCAGTTTTGTTACGAAATTTCCAATAGCCCAATAAAAATCATGCTCCAAACTTCCAGCATTCTTGCCAACCCACCCAACCAAACACACTCCTACCCCGAAACTCATGCTTCCCGCCACACCAACCCTCCAACTGATCAAGAAAAATAAACCCATCAAAGATCTCAGCAACATCCGTTTCCTATTAGACTGCCATGAAAAATCATCGGCAAGCCACCCGCTCGACGTTCCCACAAGTCGTCGGTAGAGGCGAGCAGTAGGCCAAAGAAGGAGGAGTGGAGAGGATCAGCGTATTGCTCGAGGAGGAGGAAATCCATCCGCAGGAGAGTCGTTCAGCCCGCCCACCCCCGTTGCGTCAGTGCTCTCCGTCCCGCTTGGAGCTTCCCCCGCAGCCGGCGGCGGCAGTCGGCTGAATGGTTCGTGTGGAAGCGGTAACGCTCCCAGAAAAGGGAGCGTGCGCTCCGTCGCCGGCAGCGAGAGAGAACCAGAGGAGAGAGAAAGAGAGAAAGGGAGAGAGAGGCATTCCTCGTTCACAGGGGCCACGGCCGTGGGCAAGGTGGGCCATAGGGGCAGCCCCGACTCAACGCGTTCAGCACGCGACAACACGGTACCGTCACCTTTCTCCCCCTCTATAACCATCCCCTATCTTCCTCTCTCCTGGTCCCGGCCGAAACATCGAATATCAATCCTGTCTCCCTCCCTCTAGCCACTCGACCCATACGTAGGCGTTTCTGCATGAACAGGCACCACGACCGAAGCGTGGATCGCTCGTGGCCAGAGTGTCGGGGGACCAAATCGAAAGCGAAGCCCGTAACCCCCGTTCGCGTAGCCGAGACCACTTCAGACACGTCGTGTCCTCCGCATGGTCCACATCATTTCGTCCTGGTCATCATCTTCTTCGTTCCCGCCTGGTCTCCCTTTTCGTCTTTTTCTCCGGTGTACACGCCACCCCTTCCACCCTCCACCCTCCGTCCTACTCGTCATCATCCTCCTCTTCTTCCTCTTCTTCACGGAACGAGCCTTGATCCTTCTTTTTCGGCTTCGTCCTTCTCCCACCATTTAATCCGTTCTTCCTCTTCGCAGCGCGTTTCCCCTCTACGGACGCGCGAGCCTCTCGCTCACCTTCCCCGCCCC